GCTCTCAACATCCACAACCTCAACCCCAAAATTCGAGAGTGTCTCTTTAAGCCAAATGATTGAGTCAATTACCTACGGTACATTTAAGAAACACATATATACATATCAGAACAACATATCGTGTACGAAGATTCATTGCTCGTCACGTTTCCAATTCCAATGTACTGTGTGTAAACCAAAGCTGCCAACGTTTGGGTCCGATCAAATAGCGATGGATATGGAGCGGACCAGCCGGCATATTCTCCGACGATCTATCATAATTCGGTCCTTCCTCGCTAGATCCTTCTTCGATCCTCCTCCCATTGTTGCATCCTGTTACCAACCAGGAATCACAATACAGTATTTGGATAGTTTAGGTGGATAGAACTTGCGTTCGTCGGAGCCTTGCCGCAGCTAGCTCCGCCGTCGCCATCGCCGCCGCCGGCTCGGCCGTGCGGTGCCTTAAGCTGAATACAAGTTGAAGTTCTCCTCTCCACGGTTACGACTACTTATCTCGCGTACATGGGCTGCGGCCCACTACCACCACGCAGGGCCTATTACTCTTGGGTTTGGCCTTCTGGCACTTTTGGTCAGCCCGCCTTCGTCTTCTTCATTCGCGCCAACGCCTTCGTCCTTCTTCGCTGGTGAGGCCGATGCAGCGGTGACACTCCTCTGCCCTTAAAAGACGGCTTGACCCCAAGCCGGCGCTCGAGGGAACTGCTGGCGAAGGGCGTCTTCCTCTTCCCACGTCGACAGCTCCAGTGGTGTACGAGACCAGCGGATGAGAACTTGAGGCTGGAACCTGGAGCGAGCTACTGCAGAGAGAGGCCTTGACCTTGAGTCAGCTAAACTGCAAAAGCAGACTCCGGCTGACTCATACGTCAGCTAGTACGAGTCGCTCTGTTCTGCAGTACTACTTCGACAGTACTTTTCAACGAACGAACGGTGTTTTTCTTTCACAACAAATCAGCATAAGCCAAATTTCAGCGAAACGAACAAGGCCACTGTTGCGCCGCATATACATGCCTAGTACTCCCAACTCCCTCCATCCTACGAAGAATATTATTCTCACTCTCCGTTAAATTAATTTTTTTAACTTTGATCAAATATATAAGAAAGTATAGTATATAATTAGTATCACGAGATAAATCATGAAATATATTTTTATATTAAACTTATTTAGATATATAAATGTTGCTATTATTTTTATAAATCTAGTTAAAATTTAAAAAGCTTCATCGACATGTAACGTCATTTTTTTTTGCAGCTACGACCTTGCGGGTCCCACTCTGCCGCGGGGCAGTAATTGCCACGTACGAAGATTCATTGCAGGACACGCTTCCAATTCCAATGTACTGTGTGTAAATCGAAGCTGCCAACGTTGATTTTTTTTAACATTTTTTAAAACTATTTTTAAATTTGATATTGTTTTTTTAACTAACACTTTTGATCACGTCTATTCGCATGGTGCGGCGAAATCACGTTGCCGCGCCATGCATGGGGCACGGTAGGGGTGATGATGTGGCAGCGATAGGGCCGCTGAACGCTGATGTGGCCATGGCTGTCGCGCTGCGGATCTAGGCACGGTACTGACGCGTCATGAAAAATTGTGCGGCAGGTTGCTCGCATATGATCGTGGATTATAATCTAAAACAATATTTTTCTCTCATACTAAACCAACCAATAATAAATAATCGACGATCGTTTTGTTGCAACAATAAATAATCGAGGATCGTTTCCAACGAAATGAAGAGGCTGATCCCGCCGGCAGGTTGGACCGGTGACTTATCTTTATGGTGGACAGGGCGGGGCGCTTTCTTTATCAGCGGTCACGGCGACGCGAACTCTGATGACAGCTGTTCCGGCTCCGGCACCGTAGCAGCACTTCTTGTGCTATCAGTAACACAAGAAAGATCCTTGAGTGCAGCTTGCATGCTTCGGATCGGACAGCCAAGGAGCCATTGCAGCTGCAGCAGCAACTGCAGCACGTAGGGTGTGCTAGTTGTTTAGTCGTTTCTAAATTTTATATCATATTAAATGTTTAGATACTAATAAAGAGTATTAAATATAGATTAATTATAAAAATGATTATATAGATTGAGGTTAATTTACGAGACGATTTTTAAGCCTAATTAATCTGTCATTAACACGTGTTTACTGTAGCACCACGTTGTCAAATCATGATCTAATTAGGCTTAAAAGATTCGTCTCATAAATTAGTCGCAAGTTGTATAATTAGTTTCGTAATTAGTCTATATTTAATACTCTATGCATATATCAGAAATTTTAAAAACAGACTGTGGGAACCAATTAGGGCCAAGTGGGCTGATGGTTGGTTTGGTCATTGCATGCCTCGGTACTTGTGCATGCACGCCCATGTCAAGCGACATGCGCTGCCTACTGCCTACTCCTTGCTGGGAAAACTGTGTGCTGGCCCTGGCCTGAGTGCCAGCGACTCTTCTCTGCAGTCGAGCATATCTGACCCTTCGTTTCAATCGAACGGCGACCAGGTCGCACCAGACTTTCAAGCGCCCCTTCCTTCGCTGCGCTGGACCTTGGCCCAACAAGCTCACGGCGCTGCTGGGTTTGTGCGAGCGTCTCTCTCTCTTGAGGAATAATAGATGCGTTATTATTCTTAACCGTAGTCTGTAATCTCTTCCTGTGTGCTCAGATTGCATGTGCGTGTAATGCCATGGCTGTTTCTTTTTCTCCACCAAATTGGATACCTATTTAACAGTACAAATAATACCATGTCATGTTTATTTTGCAAAATAGCACAATTTGTTACAAAATTGAAGCCGGTACACTTTATGCCATGTTCGCGTGACTTATAAGCCGTACTTTTTCAACCAACGAACAATATTTTTCTCTCGTAACAAATCAGTCAACAGTACTTTCAGCCATGGCTTATCGCCCAACGAACAAGGCATCACGCCGACGTTATAGGAGCTTTCCTGTCTGGGACCAGCTGTGAGTCCCTGGTTCACAAGTTAGGACATAAGGGCCCGCAAACCACAAGGAGCTTCTCGACATTGCCACCAGCCACGCCTCAAGCGAAGAAGCGGTCGGAGTGATCTTCGACCACCTCAAGGGCAAGACGAGGCGGGACGAGGACACCAGCGAAGACGCCTCCAATCGTCCCGCCAAGAAAAAAACAAGCAGCGGCACGAGGGCTCCCAAGAAAAAAAAACAAGCAGCGGCGCGAAAGCTCCTATAACGTCGATGGTTCGTTGGCTGATAAGCCATGGCTAAAAGTACTATTGGCTGATTTGTTGTGAGAGAAAAATATTGTTCGTTGGCTGAAAAAGTATGGTTTATAAGCCAAACGAACCGGACAAAAGTGTACCGGCTTCAATTTTGTAACAAATTGTGCTATTTTGCAAAAATAAACATGACATGATATTATTTGCACTGTTAAATAGGTATCCAATTTGGTGGAGAAAAAGAAACAGCCATGGCATTACACGCACATGCAATCTGAGCACACAGGAAGAGATTACAGACTACTGTTAAGAATAATAACGCATCTATTCCTCGGAGAGAGACGCTCGCACAAACCCAGCAGCGCCGTGAGCTTGTTGGGCCAAGGCCCAGCGTAGCGAAGGAAGGGGCGCTTGAAAGTCTGTTGCGACCTGGTCGCCGTTCGATTGAAACGAAGGGTCAGATACGCTTGACTGCAGAGAAGAGTCGCTGGCACTGACTGCAGAGGATCTCATTCCTGGCCGTGCTGGGGAACCCAAGCTCATCCTGCTAGCTACTATTGCATCATCTGAATTCTTGTGAAAACTAAGCAGCCACAGCTGCAAAATGCAGCCGATCAGGACATCCTCTCTTTTCCCTTCAGTTTGGCCAATTGTCCTTTGCAATATTTCTCATAAGTTGCTCAACATATATTGTAGAACTGCATGTGCTGTTTATTTCCTTTTCTCGGTCTCAAATTAAATCAACTTTTAGAGTTATCCTAAGTCAAACTATTTTAAATTTAACCAACTTTATAAACAAGAGCACCGATAATTATGACACCAAATTAATATCGCTGGATACACCATGAAATTTATTTGGTGTCGTAGATATTATTACCCTTTCATATAGAGTTGGTCAAAGTCAAGATGATTTGACTAGAAATTAATTTATTTTGAGACGGAGATAGCATGTATTATCACTCCAATTAAGGGCAACTGTGTTAGGCCAATCCCAATAGGAGTTTCGGGGTGACATGGTAGTGTATTAATGAAAAAAGAGATGGTGAAAGTTTTCTAGGAGTAGAGATAGTTTCATAGACTAAAAATTTTATGCACTGTTTTCAAAATATGAGTGCGTTTGAAACTAAGTAATGAAACACTGGCCTTATAACTTTTCAAAATATGATTTGATATGATTAATATATCTTAGAAAAAACATATCTTTTTTTTGTGAAATTAAATGAAGATAATTTTTATATGAAAATTATAGATCTCGACGAGATCTATAATTTTCTAGTTTTGAGTTTTTTCATTTGAATTCGTTAAGATGCTAAAAAAATTAATGACATATTTAGACTTAAGGGTTTTTTCGACTTTTCACACCTGCAGTTTGACAGCGTTAGGGTCCAAACTGACGGCAGTGGCATGGACATAAAAAAAATTAGAGCAATGACGTTGAAGACCGCTGAACTTTTCTAAAAATACACAGGGCATTGTGATCTTTTTTTTTTTTAATGGCACACGACGAATTCCGCCTAAGATGTATCATCCGGTCCTTCCTCGCTCGATCCTTCGCCGATCCTCCTCCCATTGTTTCATCCATGCATAGTCAGCAGTCAGCACGCATCGTCAGTCGTCGCGGCGACCGGAGGACTGGAGGAGCGTACGTCTACCTAGTTGGCTATTTAAGCGCATGGCACGGCTGCGGACTCTCGCAGCAGTCAGCACCACCACCACGTACGACAACCATCGCCGGCCGGCCGGCCCCATCAGAGCTTGCATTGCGCACCACCACCGTACCACTGCCCAATCATCGTGGTCTGGAAGGTGATGGACCGGATGGGATCGCAGGATTCGCAGCAGCATGTCGGCGGTGCCCCGTCAGCCGAGACCCGCGTCGACATGGCCATGGCCATGGCCATGGCGGGGCATAAAGACGCGGGGCCCGAGCAGCAGCAACGGCAGCTGCGGCGGGCGCTTAGTGTCAGCGCCAGCCGCCGGCGGCGGGGCGGCACAGGCGGGCTGGAGCGCAACGACCGGGCCACGCTGCTGCTGGTGGCCACGCTCATCACGACGCTGTCGTACCAGGTGGGCAGCAACGTGCCCGGCGGCTACTGGCAGGACAACGACGAGTCGCCGCCGCACCGGCACCGCGCGGGGGATCCCATCCTTCGGGACGAGCACTACGGGCTGTACGTGCTCTTCGTGTGGTCGAGCTGGATCGGGTTCGGCAGCTCCATGGTGCTCACCATGGGCCTGCTCACCGGCGTCGCCACGGGGTCGCGTTTCGTGCGCTGGCTCTTCGTCGTCGCCTACTCCACGCTCGTGCTCACCTTCATCATGTCCCAGTCGCACACCATTGTCTGGATCAACGTCGTCGTCTGGGTCGCCGTCATGGCCGCGCTCGCCTTCGCCATCACCTACCGCCGCCTCAGCGACCTCATCGAGTGGCTGTGCGGGGACAAAGACACCCACCACCATCAAGTTCAAGTCGCCGCCATTACACATGACCAAGCCGAATAAACCTACCTATACTAGTACTACGTACACATACACGAATGCATGGATTATTTTGCTACCTGTTGTTGCCATTGCATCAATATCTGTTCTAGGCAGCTCCTCCTAAGTCCTAAGTAATGAATATATATAAGGACGTTTTCTTCATCACTATTCATGCACGGTGTTACGTGGTGAGGGCATTGGGCAGTGACGACTGCGTGCCGAGGACCTTGCCGCCGACGTCAGGGAAGCACTCGTGGCCCGGCAGCGGCCCCACCTGGCCGTCCCTGCCCACGTGGACCGGGTACCTCAGCAGGTGGCCCCTCGTCTCCTCCATGTCCGGCGACACGTACGCTCGCCAGTTCTCCTCCGCCATCTCGTTCACCCGCCGGACGCACTCCTCCGCCTCCGGCTGCCGGAACTGCTCTTCCACCGTGCCCAGGTGCTCCGCCCACAGCGACATCCGGTACCCGTGCACCTGCATTGCATGCAGTTGCAGCCCATCCAGCATGGCACATCAAGAGCTTGCATTGCATTGCATTGCATTGAAGAGATGGGGACTAGCTCGCACTGCATGCTGGTGCGTGGATCAGCAAGCAACAAACCTGTCCGCGAGGAGGATGGCCTGCGGCGTCTCCAGTAGCCCGGCAGCTGGTGTAGTGCGGCTGGTACGCGCCCATGGCGATCTCAGTGTCCCTGGAGCCTTCCATGGACCTTTGGTTTATGTTGGCCGATCCGATGATGACGTACTCGTCGTCCACGACCATCCCTTTGGAGTGCACGTAGATCATGAACCTCCGCTGCTTCTGCGCCGCGTGCTGGAGGTGCAGGTGCAGGTTTTCAGCAACAGAGAAATCAGACAATTCTGCGCATTGAATTGAAATGGATGGCAGGATGGGTACCAGAGCAGATGTGTCATTGCATAGGGTCCTAGGGGACAAGTCGTCGTTGCTGGCGAGCTCACATTTGCCAAGGCAGTAGAAGTTGAGGTAATCCTGAGGGTGGGTGTCAACGAGACCCTGGCTCTCAAGAGCATCTGCCACAATCTTGTACATCATAGACATTGTTTGCCCCTTCAGAACAGTACATGATACATGTTAAATTGTTAATACATCATGCATCAACTTATAATTACAAGAGAAATGGTGTGCCACTATGCTAACTATGGGCTGTATATCTATCCAGAGTCCGATTTCAGTTCAATGCAATGATAACTATGATGGGGGAGCGAGAACTAGCAAACCTGCCAAAAGAGGATTTGCTGCATAGGAGCCGTGGTTGGGATGCCTTCAGGCCACATTGGTATGACAATGTAGACTGCGAATCGCTCCTTTTCCTTGATCTTGCTTGCGATCTTCAAGGCCAGTTCGATGGGTATTAAATTATCCGCACCTGATCTCATGACAGATTACCCTCGATCAAACTACGCATGTTCATATATACTGTGACTGTATGAGCAAATAACATTCTAATTCTGCTGAACAGGGAGCTAAAATTTGTAGGTAACTACTGGTTTCGAAGTAAAGAAAATTAAAAAAAAAAAAAGCAACTAGACTGAAACAACATGGGGGCAGTTCTGAGTTCCGACAGATCCAGTTGTACCTGCATTTTTACATGAAGGCCAGCAGAATGAAGACCCAATGAAATACTGGTTCTCAATGTATATAAAGCGCTGCGCAGACCTGATAGCTTTCACATAAGCACTATGTATACTCCTGTCAATCTTTAAATTCTTTGCACAAACAAGATTCTGCACATGGTAACAGCTACTGATCAGCTGTAAATAAAGTGGCAAAGAAACCAAATTTTGTATGGTTGCATTACATTAATTATTTGCACGCTTATGAAAAATTGAAAAGACAGCAAGCCTAACCTGTGATTCTGCCTCTTGAACAAGTTTAGGAAATCCCTTTATGGATCCTGAATCAATTGACCTGAAAACCTAGCCAAACACCAAAATAAGTAAAAATAGTAGGATTTACAGTGGTTGATACTGAAACGTTTCGGATGTCAAAACTAAGTCTTATACCTGTACATGCCAATTTTCTGGGTCCTGTTCATCACAAACATGAGCATTCGCTTCGCCTGTAGCTGGTGAAACAATCCATGACATCCGGTTGAGTTTTATCAGTGTGTCATAGTGCCAACTTGCTACTTTCTTAAGGTTAACTTTCCATTTTGTAGCTTTCCTCCATCGCTGTTCAAAGTTCGTCAGTATATCATAGGCAGCAGGACCCTCAATTTTGCAATGTAAATCATGCCATGGCTGTCTTGGTCCATAGGAATTAACCTGCAAATTAGAAAAGAATGCACTGGTGTTAAACACTTGATATTTTTAAAAAATAAAAAAGAAGAGTTGGTAGTAGTGTATATTGTGTCATTACACTGAAGCCTGTTTTTTCGTTCTTAAATCAGAATTTTCTTCCCAGTAAGTGCATCAACAAAGGAACTAGGACATCTATGACCTAAAATAATTATGAACAGATGAACATACTGGAAATGTTGGATTATGGAAGTCCTTCTTGAAAACAGTATCAAGGTCTTTGAAAAGCCTATGTTCAGGTGTATCATATCTGCCGTCACACAAGTCAAGACCACCAATGAAAGCAGTTATTTTGCGATTGTTTCCAGCAGCTTGTGAATCAACAATCAGACATTTCTGATGATGTGTAAACAAAGTTCCAACAACCTGCAGAAAAAGAAAAAACTTAATTTTAGCAAACGTATAGGGGCGGTGGGATAATGTAGGTAATTTGTAGCATGATAGACTGATAGTAATGCTCTGTGACTACAGAACAGAAGGTGTTCACACAAGCCTTCCCACATAATCAGTGTCTTTAAGGATTTTCCAGTAGCTATCACATGATCAGTTACATGCATCATTTCGAATGTTGATGGAATGAAGTAACAATTTTGATGTAGAAATTCGTGGGGCGTACAGATGGAGAGAACAATGTAGGCAGGACATGCTATAAATTAAAATGCAGTTCAGTTCATTTTAGCAGTATATACATTGAGAAGGAAAAGGAACCCTCACCTGCTGCTTGAAAATGCTGAGTTTATTACTGGCATAACGAGGAACCAGTACACAGTGTACACCGGAATGCCTGAAAAACTTTCTAGTTTCCTCATCATGTGTATGCATGACTCCATCCTGCATTCAGCCTAAAACATCTCTATCAGACTATTCTTGAACCAAGCAAAGGGTGTTCTTCTTTCGTTGGCGACAAATTAATGAACAACTTCCCGAAGAAGAAATTTAAACCATACCGTTTTCAAAAGGAATTTGTCATGCGACGTCTTGTCGTCCCAAATCAGCATGACGACGCGGACTCCCTCATGGACCTTCCCCTTGAGAAGCTCCCCGAGCGTCGGCGGCGTCCCGCCGGGCAACGGCCTGGTCGTCTCCCTCACGAGCCTGACGGGGTGGTAGATGGACCAGCCGACCACGTAAACCAGATGGTGCGCTTCGGCGATGGCGTGGCAGATGTCCTCCCAACACCTGCCGTGCTCGTAGACCCTGCCGCCGTCGATATCGATCGCAGGCAGATTGCCGCCGGCGACGTGGGCGTCCTGGTAGAGCGTGACGGCGCCGCCTCGTCGGAGAGGGAAGTAGGCATTGGGCACGCCGGAGTAGCGAGGTCCGGCGCCGGCACTGGCACTGTACAACGGGTTGGCGTCGATAGGCTCGTACCGAATGGAGAGGTGCAGCTCGGGCGCGGGCCGCCTCGGGGAGTGGCTGCCGCCGCCGCCGCCGCACTGCCCGGCCTCGACGGGGAACCAGCCGGCGACGGGTGCGCCGGCGGCGAGCGTGGCGACGGGCACGGCGGCGACGCCGATGAGCTGAGCGCCGAAGACGTCGTTGTCCTTGACGTGGAACTCGACGCGGGCGGCGGCGTGCGCGACCTCCACGCGGAAGTGCTCCTCCCAGCGCGGGTTCTCGGTGTTGGGGATCACCCGGGTCTGCGCCACCGTGGCGCCCGCGAGGCACACGGAGACGTAGGGGTCGCTGGTGATGATCCGCTTCTTCGTGGGCCTGCCGCTGCCGCTGCCGCTGCTGCAGCCACTGGCGCCCCCGCCCCCGACGCCGCAGGAGCAGGAGGCGAAGCAGCGGCGCACCCGCTCCGACATGATGTCCATGTTGGGCAGGCACTTGGCCTCCACGATGCGGATGTCCAGGTCGCCGTGCAGCAGCACGGCGGGCTCCGCCGGCGTCGAGCCCTTGCCCATGGCAAGGGACCGGACCACCAAGGGTGGCCGCCGGGCGCGGAGACAAAGCAATAAATGCGCTGGTCAGAGGCGTGGCGGGCGAATCGATCTCAGAATGTGGCTAGGCTAGCGCGCCATGACGGCGCTGGCCGGCCGGCCGACGACGAGAGGCGTGCGGGTCGGGTCGGGTCGGGGCGGGGAGCACAGGGTGGCAGAGCGCAGATGCTCGCGCGCGAGATGCGGGGGGAAGAGAGGAGCACGACGAACGGAAGGGGGAGTTGGCGCCGCCCTTGCCGCTGCCATTTTTGGTTGGCGGTTTTACTTTCGCATGTCGGCATGGCGTGCGGGTGGGCGGTTGCCCGAGGAGACGAGGCGTCAGGCAGGCGTGGCGTGGGCGGACAAGGTGTTTGTGCGCCGGTGGGTCACTGCGGACTGCGGTTTCTTTGTTCCATGGCGGTGACACGCGCCGGTGCCGGTGCACGGAGGCCGACGGAGCGGTTGTTTTCTTTTCCCGCGAAGCCAATGTGATCCCCATTCCCCGGGGCCTCTGCAGTTTTGAACCGTGCGTGCCCGTCAGTGACCGCCCGATCCCATGTGAATGTGATGCGATGCTTACAGCCCGATCCACCGGCCAGGACTGCTGCTGCCTGTACTTATTTTCGCTAATCGATGTGCCTGACATAACGCTGGATTTGCATTGGCTACCGATGAAAGAGTGTCCTCGACAATGATGCCTATCTGCACACGCCCGCTGTTCAAAAAAAAAGGCAATTCTAGATTCGAAATCATTTTTCTTAAATTTAACAAGTTTTGGGAAAATAATATATTAATATATGTCTCTAAATAAGTTTTTACGCTCTGTCAAGAGCAAAAGCTATGAACCTAAAAATGCCAAAACAACTTGTAATTTAGAATGGAGGAAGTATATGATTAATCTGACCATACTCATTTTGGTACCATATATGAGTCTTTTATATATAAAAATTTAATAAACTTTAAACTGTCTGACTTCTCAAACAACAAGCATTGCATTCTTTTGGAGACAGATTGAGTGCAAAAAATACAAGAATTGCATTTGCTTAAAAAAAATAACGGATGGAGTAGCAATTTAATGCATCCCTAACTCAGAGAGACGGAGATAAACTCAGAAGTATGCAGATGCAGGGAACGACGTGAAACAAGTGCTAGTGTGATGTATATTAGGCGCAAAGCATTCTGAGAACAAGTTCACATGATGAAAATTTTATTTCCGGTCACCAAGCCACCGTTTCAACGTCAGCTTGCAAAAGCTCTTTGCCAGGGGTCATCGGACATTCAGACCACAATTGGAATAGGTTTGCAACAAAACTCTCAAGTGAGGCGAATCTAACTTCAATGACATATTATGGCCACAGGTAGTGCAATATCCAGCATGAAACAACCAGTACTTCACACACTCCAAAACTCCACCGAGATGGACCAATCCATCGGTAAGGGTTTACTTGTCTTCTCCCTGCCAAAAAGGGAATAAAAAGAGACATCAAAGGGCGTACCCAGTGCAGAGAGCTCCCGCTTAAGAAAAATATACAAGTATGAGTTCACCACTAGCATTACATTCTACCACCAGCACCAAATTAATAATCATCAGAACCACTTGTGGATATATGGTTCTACAACGACAGCAATACAAAGCTATACTGATTATCATCACTTCATTGGCTTTGTCTCATAGTGATTTTGCCGAAGCATATGTGATCCTGTTCACAGCTCATGTTTGCTATAAAACAAAACTATACCAGATTGCAAAAAATGTAGCTGAGCACCTGAGCTGGGATGCGATCATCTAAAGTACTTCTAATAGACACTGAGTTTTAAACACGCTACTAGCCTTCCAGATGAGATGAGATAAGCAAAAAAAATGAAACATAAGCAGTAGCAGAATATACTACTACAAGAATCCATAATTACAGAAGTACTCCCGTACCCCAGTTCTGTGCTTTTGGTTACAATCCTTTTTTTTCCCGTGCACCCATTTTCTCTTCTGAGATTTCCACGAATAGGTATTTATAAGAAATCATCCAAAAATACACTAAGCCAGTTGAATTCAGAAGATCACAAGAGTTCTTCTGAAATTGCTAGCTATGCCGCTGATTAGATTTTAGACCAAAAACTGGAAGATAAATACAGCAGGCACTAGGCAGGCTATATCATTTGAGAATTTAGACGATCATATTATCTATGAAATAATATACCTAATGAATAGCCAAAATCAGTATAACTTGACTTTCATAATCAAAGAGAGGGAGTAACTCTAGCAAAGACACACTGATCAGGCAAAAAGAGGGAACCATCTTATAGAAGACTAGTTATGCAATAATCATGTTTAAACCAGTCAGCAGAGAGTTCAAACAGGATTTAGAGAGAATGAGAGAGCAATTACTTCAGAGTGAGCAGAAGGAATAGTTGAGACTTTGGGTGACCACTTTGGAGGAGCACCACTGAATAAGTATGAGCATTCAGTGTATGCAGCCCCTATCCCCACACCAGCTCCAAGGGCAACGGATGCCCAACGGGTAGTAGGGCTACCTGTACAAACAAATAACAGGTCCGCATGTAAACAAAAATAAATTCAATAGTCACTGTATCAAGTCAAGCAAGTAAAAGTTTCTTGAAATTAGTAATTTCTGTGTATGCCTATCAATGGTTCAAAAAGTTAAGATTTGTAGGTCTAAGACTAATTTGGGAAGTTTGGTGGAACTAGAATAGCATATTTAGTGGCTTACTGCTTGATAGACATAACCACAAAAACAGACAGCTAAAGTACTTCCAAACCAAAAAATAAAAGACAGTACACAGGAAACAAGCTCAATTCAGAATATAACAACTTGAAACATAAGAGGCATCGTAGCATAAAAGAAAGAAGTGCAATTCACAGAAAGCAGTAGACAGGAAAAAAAAAACTGCACCTTAAAAAAAGAAAAAGATAAAAAGATAAAAGGGTTGCACATTATACCATAAACAAAAGCAGGAAGCTAGTTGATAATCAGATAACGATTTTCAGATGGCTTTTAACGATCACCCAGAATAATACATATATATGCTAAATTGTTAATGCTACGGTAGTATAGTTGATTGGCAATTTTAGCGGCAAACATTTTGGGCAAACAAAACTATAGAATTCTGTAAGTAGCAAACTAAATCACCAAAAGAAGCCCTAACACAGGTTTACAATTAGGCATGAGCAAAATAATTGTCACCCTCATGGCCAAGCAGCTCATTATTCGTCTCATTTCCATTTATATCACTTCAAACAAAGATCACATATAATGAACACTAACAATCTCAATTATACATATCCACGTCCTGTGCAATCAGATGCCACAATTTATATGCAGTGCAGAGCTCTAGAAAAAAATGCGATTCATCCCTAGAAGAGAAACTGCAATATGTAGGAAGGTTGCTATATCCAACTTCATTAGACATATTAGTAGGGCAATCAACAGGTATGAAACACCCTAATCACACAAGTTTCATTAGCAACCATAGGCACACAAACCTAGCCACAGGTAGCACCCTCCCTGAAAGCAACATTGAGGCGATGAGGCAAACATTTCAACATCCTCCATCCACCAAGTTGAGTCTAAATTTTCTCAGGTGCAACCTATCGGTCCAGTGCTCCCTCCATGCCAGCCAATAATCACCACTCTTGAGCAAATGACTCTACAAGTCAACAACGTAAAACGCTCCATGCAAATCATGGAGACAGCACGGCATTGGGGCTCTATGATATCCTAAAGCAATGTGCAACGTGATTCAATTGGTCCCGCATCCACATCGGCATCGGGGCGTGCTGGTCAAGATGGATCGAAGACGAGCATCCGCGCTAACCCTAGAACAGCAGGCGCACCCAGCAAGCAATCCAGCGCCAGGACACCGAGCAAGGCGCAACCAGATCTCACGAGACAGAGCGCAATGGGGGAGTATCCTTACGGAAGAGGAGGAGGCCCGCGAAGGCGCCGGCGAGGGAGGAGTAGGCGACGCGGCGGATGGAGAGGTCGAGGCACGCGTCCCACTTGGCGTCCAGGTCGTACCGCGGCGGGATCCCCGACTTGGGAGGCGGGGACGAAGTCGCCGGCGCCGGAGCTGGCGCTGGCGGCGGCGGGGTGGGGGCGGCGGTCTCGGGCGCCTCCGCCATGGCCGAGGGTTTCGCGACACGAGGAGACGGGACGACGCGATTCGGGGGAGGGAGGCGTAGAGGCAGCGGGGCGGCGTGGCTGTCTGGACGGGGATGCTTGATGCGAGTGCCCTGCCTTTTTTTGGGTCGGGTCGGGTCGGGTGCCAAGCCGATCTGCCAATTCGGGCCGGGCCACGGAAACAATTGGGCCTGTTGCCCTGTTCTACTGCTTGCTTCAAATAGCCGCCGCCGTGATTGGCCACTTCCAATCTCGCCAGTTGCAAGCCCTCCTACGATCTATCGGTAGAGTTGGCTCCGATCTGCCTCGCTTGTGCCAGTGGCGGCCTACTACAGCGCTTGCAGCACGACGAGGAGATGGAGATCCACTCAAGCCGCCGTTAGCATCAGAACATCCAGATCTGAATCGTCTTATTTCCACCGAATACATGGATCCAGACATACATACCGCAAGGGTCGTACAAAATTGCAGCCATATACAGCAACAAGCGTCTGCAGGAGGACTTCGTTGAGGGTGATCCTGCTGACCGTACCGAGACTCGACTGGAGCCAATAATGATGTTCTCCAAGCCCACACACATGATCATTTTCCCACAACACATGTTCCAATTTTTCTCGGTGCTGCTGTCCAAAAGCCCGATCAGCGATGGCTCGATACAAGTATATGGATACAGAGCAGCACGGGATGAGAGGGATGGCATGCTTAACTACATTGTAAACTACAGCAGGGATGACCCTGTCATTGCGCGGCAGGGTTCTCTGATTGAAATGACTGGCCCTAAGAGAGGTATCGAGACGTGTTCTATTGTTCTGATAGAGTTTGACATGAGGATTAAGATTGGAACACAGGAGGACGATGATCTTCAGCTGATTGATGGAGCACTAGCATGCTCAGGCCGCATGTATGAACCATGGAAACCGATTAAAGAGCCGATTATCGGCAGTTCTTGCGCGGTCGATGTGACGTTAGCGGTTCTTGCACGTTAGCCACAATGGTTCTTGCACACGCGGTGGAGGCCACAATAAGCAAGTTAGTTGTTGTTGTTATGTCAGAAGTACAGAGTGGCAGTTTAGGTTTACCTCTAAGCTCCTTGGTTGATGTCATGGATGTCTATGGAGAGATCCAGCTTTTCGATGGCATCATTGCTCAGTGTTGTAACCCACAATTATGTGTGACTTAGTTAGCTGGTCATGGATGTCACGAAGATATATATTTCACAGATGAGAATCCAGCTCCTATTCCTATTCTCTACATGGTATCGCCCACGCGGTTTCCTCAATCCGATCCTCAGTCTCTTCATTACTTCGCCGCACAAGAATCGGGCCTCTCTAAGGTTCGTGGTTGCCGTCCCGATCTCCGCCGCCATGGACGCCAATGCCAACTGCTTTCTCAACGCCGACGTTTCCGGCGTCCGAGTTAAGTCCTTCTAACGTTCCTCCGCCTCCATTGTGGTGAACATGCTCGATATGTATCTGCCCTCCAAACCGCAAAACCCATGTCCCTCAAGTTTCAATCCAACTACATGGGCGTTACAAGGATGCCTTCGACAGATTTGGCTCAGCAACCACCTCACTACCCACATCTCGTGCTGATCGTCACGATCCAGATTGGATCATGCGTGATCAGTGCATTCTTTCTTGGCTCCTATTCCTATTCTCTACACTCAGTCGGGGCCTCTAAGAAGGTTCGTGGTTGCCGTCCCGATCTATACTATGATGCTTTTGAAGGTAAAGGTTGGTAACGTTGTGGAACATGCTCGATATGTATCTGCCAGCAGTCGACATATGAAGTTTAAACCTAAGCTACATGGATGTACAAGGCGACAGATGAGGCTTAAGGTTGCTACTATCTCGTTGAAGGTGACTTGGTCCGGTATTTGACTTCCTGGTCTGGTGCCTCATGTAGTGGTTGGTTGTGCTGTGAATCTTGCGCTGCATTTGTGCTTGTGTACTCGATCTACATACCGCTTTTGTGCTGGGATTCGATCGGGAACTGTTTAGCCTGAAACCTATTTCAACGAATGCGGTAATGCTAATAATGTCTCAACATGTGTTTCACAACACCCAGTATTGATTTAGTTATGTCAATTCCAAAAAAAAAAAAAAGGAAAATTTACCGCATAAAGCTTCTTCCATATTCTGTTTCATGTGTTTTTTAGTGCTGTGGTCTCCGTTGTTTTTCCTCCCTTTCTCGTGAAAGAACCTAAATGATCTCTGAATGAAAGGCACTACCAGGTTGAGAGGCACGAGACCACATAAGATGATAAGAGCAGCTATTTCTATTTGATCAAAGACGATTCTCCTCATGAAAATAACCACTACCAAAGATCAAAATCAAATTTTTTTGTATCTGCTTTTTCCAGTTGATCGAACCTGCGCTGGAGACCAAAAAAAATAAAAATGAATAAATCGTCGACAGCAGGATTCGAACCTGCGCAGGCAAAGCCCAACAGATTTCGAGTCTGTCTCCTTAACCACTCGGACATATCGACTTTCTGATCGTCCCATAGTAATTTATTTCTTGAACATAAATGAACTTCATTTGTTAGTTTTTTTTTATGATACTCGTATTAGCGACATGGATGAGTTGATATTGACGGCTCGATGAGATTGGGTAACACTGCCTGCTAGTCATGAATGAACAATCGAAGCGAACACGGTGCTGACGTGCTGTGCGTGTTCGCTTTTGCTGTACTATACGCTAACTATTGCACGGTTGCTTAACACAGTCAGTTCAACAGGTCGTTCCCGTTTGCCAGGGATAGCATAATTGCATGATCTCCACGATGAAGCTAGTGAATCACGGCAAGACTATTTTCACAGGAGCAGAGCCAAACTGACTGACACAAGCTGGACGAAGGGGAAGGAATAATCTTCAGCCGTCACAGCGCTAATGATAGGATTACACGTTGACTGAATAATCTGAACTCTCTGAAGAAGACAATGCAAGCAACCTGGTCCGTCGTTCTCAGTGGCAAACGCAAGGTTTGCCGTTGACCGCAACACATGCTGAATTACTGATTGAACTAAAGCTGATGAATAAAAGTTTGTTACAGAGCAATCGAAACGATCATTACATGCGTCAGTGCAAGTCTTCAGGAAGGCAATTGCAAGAACAGGTCATCATTTTTCAAAAAAAAAAAGGAACAGATCATCAATTACAAGAGCAGAGAAGATCGTTAGTCAAACTTGTCAGTTACAAAAACTTGCGTGCAGCTTTAGTCAGCAAACACACATACAGCAACTAGTAGTAGTAGCCGATGCCCTGTGCCCCAGTTAACACATGAGATAGGAAAGCTGGAGCCTGAAGGGGATCATGTCCCTGAACTTGAAGAAGCTCGCTGCTGCATCCTGTTGCAGATGTGTACAACCAACTCGGAGCGTAGCTGCTGCAATGGCCGTACGTCGTCGTATCTCCGGCGGTGACTTCGGCGGCCAACACTGGACCACATGGTAGCTCGATGAATCGGCCGTCATGCTCCGGCTCCGGATCTGGCTTCGGCTCGTCTTGCAACATCTCCAGGATGTCCGTGTACTCGTCGACGTTGAAGTCTTCGATGTTGAAGTTGACGCCGCCGTGCCAGTGCTCCGACTCCGCGCCTGGGCCTGCTGCCTGCTGCACGCCAACCTCCTGCACGTCTTCTGGCTGATAGCAGTAGGCGGTTTCCTGGTGCACCTGCGGTTCTTGCTGCTGGATCGACTTGGCTGGCGGCGCCTCGGGGTGGTCACCGCCGGCCTTCCTCTTCTTGGCAGTCTTGGACGAGGCGTTCTTGCTGGAGGACGCCGATACCGGCGCCGACTTCCCTTTTGCGCGAGGAGAGCGATAGACCTTGCACAGCACGTAGTTGCTGCTGTCGTCGGCGGCTTCGTCTTGTTTCTTGTCGGCGGCGACGAAGTCGTATTCCGCCATGCACCACCCCATCCTGTCGATCGATCGAGCGGAGGGCTCCGTCTTGCGGCCGTAGGAGAAGGTGCAGAACGTGCCGCCACCGGATCCCTCGACGTCCTTGCGGCCTATCTCCGAGTGCCAGCTCGTGCCGTCGCCGCCGGTGACCGCGCGCTGCCTGTGCCCGCTGAGCTTGCCTCGCGTGTTCGTGAACTTCTTGGCGTGGTAGAAGTACCAGATCCTGCTGTAGCCGTCGTCTTCGACACCGGTGCCCGGCACCGGCTCCAGGTCGGCGACGAGAACCTCGGGAACGGCATCACATACGTCGACGTGATGGACGAAGTGGACGTGGTCTCCGGCGCGGACGCGGCGCAGGAGGGCGATGGAAGCCTTATTGTCGGTGGAGCGGCTATCGTCGTTGGAAGCCATGTCGCCGAGATGCAGCTGCTGGTGGATCGACGACGATCGACTGATCGGAGGAGGCGTGCGTGCGTGAAGGTGAAGAAAGCACGCGTTGGAGGCAGAGGTGGGAGGGAGCGGTGCTTCCGCTATATATAAAGCACACGTCGGAGGCAGAATCTTGTCCGGATGGATGGATCGATTTTGGTTCCTTTGCCGCGATTTTTTTTCAACAAAAACAAGTAGTCGGGTTGTTTTCGATCCCTATTCCATCTCTGAACTGAAAGTCTGAAACCAACCGAACCGCGCCGCCATTCCGACGACCGTGCCCGAACCCCAATCAAGGGCGCTCGATCGCCTCCTGTCGTCATCTATTTCGATTCATTTCGTGCATTCTGAATTTCTGATCGATCGATTTCGAATCTTTCCCCGTGATTTCCAACAAACATTTACTCCCTCTCTAAGTCTGAACTGAAACCAATCGCAACAAAATAGGGTGCCGACCTCCCGTTGGTTCTAGAATGGCGCGCCGGCCGCCATTCCCTGGAATCCGTGCCCCGTGCAAGCAAGGGCGCCCGCCTCCCGAACGCCGCGCCGGGGTGCCGTCGTCATGAACACGCTCGTCGCCGGGCACTCGAGCCAGTGGTCCGCGCGCGCGCTTGGTGCTCGATCTGGGCGTTCCGGGCCGTGCGCGCACTGGCTTGGTGAGCGCGGACTGCGTTCGTGGCCAATGCACCGGTCAGGGCGTTGCTCAAGTCAAGGCTTGCTCTGAGCTCCTGTCTTGCACCGAGTTCAAAAGATGTAAGCAAACAACAGAGGAATGGATCAACATACTTGGTTAATGGTAGCCATGTCCATGTTATAGTCAGACGACGAGCTATGCACTGATTCGTGTCTGTACTCAAAATCACTGTTAGTTAATGATAGCCTGAGATGCTTCCTTTGGACTCCCAAGCAAGAGATTCTTGCATGAACATCTATGGTTAATTGGTTACAGGCACAGCATTGGTGGTGTGCACGTGGAGCTTCGTCTGGGAGGGAGACAAACCAATTCACCATACCAAGTGTGATGAATGCCTGTGCCAATACACTGTTATGTTAAGAAACAAAATGAGAACTAGAATACTAGATCTAAACACTTGGCATCTAGAATGAGATTTACTCTTTGTGGCAATTCGCGGATTGAGAATTGAGATGTACTTATAGCCTTATAGGTGTACGGGTCTTAAGGTCCCGTTCAGCTAGCAGAATTTTGACAGAAATTGGGCTGCTGAAAAACACTGTTCGGTTGAATTGTTGTGACAGAAAAATCACTGTTCTAGCTGGAAAAAAAGAAGCCGAACAAGCCAAATATGGGATAAGCCGAACGGACTGCAAAGAAGAAATTTGAGAGACTACCACGTCTGCATTCTTTTTCTCGAGGTAAATGAGGTTGAATTTCTTGTTTCTCGTTGCTTGCAGTTGCAGCAGACCAGCAGCCATCGAGGACTGGTCGGTGAAGGTTAACTATGGGGCATTCTTCAGATGAGCAGCAGCAGCATATATTACCAGGACTACATACCTTGTTTCTTGCATATAAGTGCTGCATTCCACCTGCCTACCTGTTAAATAATTGTGGCAATTTACAAGGGATTTTCGTAGTCATCCTACACTAAATCAAATGAGATCGACAACAATGTGGTGATGAGATGAGAGTACGGGAATTGTAGGTACACAGCCTGTTCGACACAGCCTGTTCGGCAGGCTGTAAACGATCGTGGATTATTTACTGCTGATTGATTTGATGTAAGAGAAAAAAATATTGTTCCAGCTTATAATCCACAATCGTATACGAGCAAGCGAATTAGCAATCCCAACAGGAGGTGATTGATAGAACAAAATCTTCGTGGAATCGGTTGCCGTAGATCTATGTTTTAGACCATGAATATTTTTTGCAACTGCACTAACCTATAATATATGAGACTTTTCCATGTGTGTCATTATAAAAGATCGCAATCCCTTGTGTGCCCCTAGAAAAATTCAGCGGTCTTCAACGCTAGTACTCTAACTTTTTCGGGCCCTCCATGCCACTTCCGTCAGTTCAGGCTCTAATGCCGTCAAACAGCAGGTGTGAAAAGACGAAAATGCCCTTAAGTTCAAATATGTTATTAATTTTTTTTGAGCATCTTAACGACTTCAAATGAAAAAACTCAAAACTAGAAAGTTGTAGATCTCGTCGAGATCTATAATTTTCATATAAAAATTATTTTCATTTAATTCCGTAAAAAAAATATGATTTAATATGATTAATATATCTGCGGTTTGACGGCGTTAAAGCCTGAACTGACGGAAGTGACATGGAGGACCCAAAAAAATTAGAGTAGTGGCATTGAAGACCGCTGAATTTTTTCAGAGACACATAAGGGATTACGATCTTTTATAATAGCACACAGGGAAAAGTCTCATAGCACGCTGCATTAGCTGGTATGTGTATTCGATAATCTAAAGACTATGTCATCCAGAGGGTGCTCCCATACTCCCTAGTCTCCTGCAAGGTAAAGAAAATTACTTTGGCTGCGCCAAGGTAAACATCTAACTAATGATGTGAAGGTCCCACAACAGCAATGTTTCGTGGTGTAGTTGGTTATCACGTTAGTCTAAACACCGACGGTCTCCGTTGAATCCGGGCAAAGCCAAAAACAAAATTTATTTCTTTGTTTGCACTGTTACATTTTTGTTTGCTTCCCATGTAGTCCGATAAAATAGATAGATAATGTGATGCAGCCATAAGCATTTGGAGTCGCGCAAGTTTCGGCATTGTCAGACGCCACTGCTCTCATAGCTCAGCCTTTTTATCTCACACAACTACAAAATTCACGAGCTTCTGCCCTCTGGTCCAGCAGGCCACCAAGACCCTAGGAAAAGAGTAGGAAATTTGTTGGCTGATCGATTCGAAATGGGCGTATGTCCGTAAAAGTTCACACAGTCACACACTCACACTTCGAAAAGGAGTTAGTTTTTTTGTTTTTGTGATTTCATTCAAAAGGAGTTTTACTACTGGGTCTGTTTACCCCTTTTTCCGGTATTCTTTATTGAGAAAAAATCACCGCCGGTCCATGAACTGGCTGACGGTGTCATCCAGGTCACTAAACTTCTAAAGTGATATCTGTGGGTCGCTGAACTTGGCAGACGGTGTCATCTAGGTCCCTAAACTTTCAAGGTAATCACTGCAGGTCCCTGAACTTGGCTGACGGTGTCATCCCGGTTCCTAAACTTTCAAGGTGATCACCGCAGAAACCTGTTCGCTTGGCTAAAATTTGGCTTATGTTGATGCTTATACTGATTTATTGTGAGAGGAAACATTGTTTGTTCGCTGAAAAGTACTGCTGAAGTAGTGCTGTGGAACAGGGCTCGGCTAGTGGATTTACGGAATACGGATTTACCGACCCCTTACAGTTGCTTTGAGTATATTGGGCCGAGTTTTGGCTAAATGAAATTTTGTAGTTTGAATCTTCATTGAATATGTTCTGTTTGATTTTGTGCTCACCATTCCAATGTGTGTTATCTGAGTCTAAAAGCTTGAAAAATTTTATAGAAAAATGATTGCATGTATGTTATTGTCTGGTTGAATGGGACGCAGGAGCTGCACAGTTGTGTAAATTGTAATGTTTCTGAATGGAAACGCTGCCACACACCATGGTGTGGCAATAGATTTGCTTTGTTTGTGTATATTTGGATCATGGCCAAACATTGTGCTTAACCTGGTTTCGTGCGTAAATTTGTGGTAGTGCTTGTCATGTTTCCTCTTTTTAGAACATGTCCCTTGACGTGTGTTTCATTAAGGTCAGACAAATACATCCCTTGACGTGTGTTTCATTAAGGTCAGACGAATCCGTGCAAGTGTCATGTTTACTCCTAGAGCGTGGGAGGCGTTTGCATGCTCAAATTTTCAATGTCAGATAAAAAAGGACCATAATTCTTCACGTAAAACAATAGTAGGATTTCGGGTATCAAGCAAATTCATCAATCTTGTCATATCTTCCATGGGGTATGATCATATATTCATAATATGCAACAACATGAATCAGATACGCTGGAGGGAGCGGTGCGAGAGCTGCAAGCACGAAATCATCGTCCGCATCGAGTTGATCACCTTGGTCACCCTCAATGGGGCTCCATGGGTCGTCGGAATGAGTTGACGAAATCCTGGAACATGAGACCATGGGAGTGTCATCAGGTTATGTCACGCATTACCGATTGCTCTTGTCACTGGTATACTTGTAAGTAGAAGTAGACTGTTCTCTTTATACCATTGCCATCAATTGAATAGTTGCTTTACGTAAGAAATGTTGGTTAACAAATAATTATTCAAAGTTAAAGCCAACAAATACTCCCTCCGTCCAAAAATAAGTGCACATCTCGCTTATCGATAAGTTAAACTCTTTCTAAATTTAACTAAGTATATAGAAAATAATATCAATGTTTATATCATCAAATAAGTTTATCGTGAAAGTATATTTCACAATCAATTTAATGATATTTATTATACATCATAAGTATTAATATTTTTTGTATATATTTGGTTAAACTTAGAAAAGTTTGACTCCTTGGCAAATGAGATTGGATGGAGGGAGTATAATATTGTTAGATATATTAGTAATTACTCAATGAGAGGGATTGAATATATTCTTCGTCTATGAATACAAATTGCGGTGGTGATAGTGGTGTATGGGGGGGTTTGGGGGGGCTCCATTGGCCATGAGGGGGTAGGGGGATCAACTTGAGCCCCTAGCCCCATGCTAGACCTATCATTGCTTAACAACAATGAAGATGATTAGCAAAGGTGCGTCAAGAACAACAAAGACCATTCCAGCTGGAACAACCATGGCCACAGTCATAAGTCATTGCATCATCGAGGAAATATTGGAAGTATGAGGTTCAAACTGTCATCGCCCACCGAAGTAGCGTGGATGAGATGGTTGTAGAAAGCGTCGGTAAGGAAGTTTCTGGAAGCATAGTCATCCAACAAGGTACTTTGCTGAGATATTACCGACAACAAAGGTTGCCATTAAGGAGAGCTAAGAGAAGTATCTTGGGCTGTCACTAAACTTAGGGAGGGTGAGAATGGTGCACCTTCAATACATCCAAGATCAGGCGAAAAGTAGGATAGCCGCTGGCAGGGGAGATTGATCACTGTCGCAGGAAGGAGGGAGTTGATTAGATCAGTCATCAGCTCGTTGCCGCTTTACTTGATCACAGTGATTAAGCCCCCCAAGAAATTCCTGAAGGAATTTGACAAACTCAGATGACGATTTCTATGAGTAGGTGATGGTCAGCTAACCGGGGGAAAGTGTAAGGTGGCATGGCCAAAGGTATGTACACCAACAATCAATTGGGGGATGGGCATCAAGGATCTGGAGTGCTTCAGCCGTTCACTGCGCCTACATTGGTTGTGGTATGCTTGGGATGATAGGGACCGACCGTGGAAAGAACTGTAGCTCCCCGCTGATGAGGAAGACCGATGTCTGTTCAATGCAGCGACCATAATAAACTTCGGCAATGGATGCAAGGCATCCTTCTGGGCGTCGCGATGGTTAGATGGAGAAGCCCCTGCAGAACTGTTCCCTGCATTGTTCAAGCACAGCAGGACAAAGAACCGCTCGGTTGCAGATACACTGACGACAAACAAATGGGTCAGGGACATAGACCACAATATGAGCCAACAAATTATTGACGAATACATATAGCTTTCGAACAGATTAGAGAATGTGGTGCTATCACAGATACAGGAAGATCAAATAACCTGGCTACACTCTTCAGATGGACAATACTCAGCCAAGTCTGCTTATAAGTTGTAGTTTGAGGGCTTACAAAGATGTACTGCATCCAAAATCATATGGAAGACCAAGGCGCCCCAAAGTGTAAGTTCTTCTGCTGACTGCTTCTTCAAGACATGATTTGGACGGCTGCAAGGCTGCAGATCAGGCACTGGGCAAACATATATTTTTGCCAGCTATGCATACGTAGCCTGGAGACGACTACTCACTTGTTTGTTGAGTTCCCGGTGGCCAGAGCGATATGGGAAAGAGTGGCGATCTGGGTGCAAACGCCAAGCCTACTCTGCCGCAAACTGGGAACAAGCAGAGGATGTAAAGGAGTGGTTCCTTCAACTTGTCAACAGGATACCACCACCGATAAAGGAGGGGATCAGATCGTTGATCATGTTAACACTTTGGGAGATTTGGAGAGAAAGGAACGGCAGAGTGTTCAGGAAAGAATGCTGAAGGATGCCGAAGATAATGGAAGCCATATTTGATGAAGCAGGAATATGGGCTTACGCTTGAAACAAGGGTCTCCAGATAATTATCCCTAGGCACGACGATCTGCAGCACGATCAAAGCCTACAATTGGCGAATGATACAGTTGTATTATCCCAACATGTAATTTAGTCATTATGTAATCCCGGGGTGGCATGGGCCTCACTATGCTGAGCTCCACGCAAAAAGGTGTGGGCGCAACTTGTGCCAGAGCTTCTAGATGTTGTAATTATTCTCTATTCTTATCAATGAAAGCCGGTAACGGATCTTTTGAAAAAAAAGAGAAGCACCATGGCCTTCGTTTTAATGTCAACTAGAGAAAGCAGTGGAACATACAAGTAGTGGTGTATTAGTAACCCCAGTGGATGTTTGCTTACAACCCTAGCAAACAACTTTATTTTCATGCAAGGATCTAAGCCCAAAAGCACTTGAAATCCAACGCCTGGGAGTGCTTAAAGCACCAAGCAACTTTGCCCGAGAAGCAAGTACACATGCCCTTATAGTTGGCTCTTGCTATGTGACCGTCAACTAATTGGTCAAACTTCACGAGTGAGAGATGATCAGAGAAATGGTGGGATCAGAGAAATGTAGTCCACGAGGATGGTGGCCTACAACATTTAGCTTTAAACAAGTGGAACCAAGGTTACAACAACAAATCATGTTTTTCAAGAGCCGTACATGTGTATACTCCATTTGGCATTTGCTCCAAGCTAAGAAGATGCAATACTTCTAAATTAGTATGCTAATATTAATGAAAGAATAATTAGTGAAAAATGCATCTGAAACCCAATCAACTAAATATGTGAGCCATCAAATATGCCTGTAACTAACTATATATAAAATGTAAGGTGAATTTGCTATGGTACATCAAACTTGTGTGGCATTGGCCATCACATATCGAACTTCATATGTTATAATGCATTTCCATTATGAAGTCATGGTTATTTCTTTTTTTGATGTCAAGTCATGGTTATTTTTGATAGAGACCAAGAAATATAATGCTCCTATCTCTATTCTCAAAGGTGAGAGAGAAGGGTTATTAAAAAAAAAACTGGTCGCTGGCCAGTGAAGATCGGGCCCAATTTAGAACGTAGGCCTGCTGCCACCGCTCTACGGAGCCGAGGCCCAAAAGGCCCGCCAGGGGGGCAAATCGGTGAATCCCGCAAACTAAAACCCTACCCCAACAAGTATATATTCCCTCCCAACCTTAGTCCCCGCTCTCGTTATCCCGGCGGCGGCGGCGGAGCGGAAGGCGAAGGAGGAGGAGCAGCAGCAGGCGGCGCCGAGGAGCGGCTTCCCTCCCCGAGCTTGCAACCATGGTGAGCGCCGCCACCCCTCCGTTCCTCCCCGCTCCTTTGCGTGCGCACGCTTTCGTGTAGATCTGGGTCGCCGCGGCGCCGTCATTCTTTGGCCCCGGCGTAGAGCCGCCGCTGTAGTTGCCTCTAGCTCTTCTAGCTCCGGTAGGGTTTCCTCTTTTGCGTGTAGAGGCGGCGGCTGATTCACGGTTGGCTGGCGCATTTGGCTAGCTCTAGATTTTGGCGGTTTGTTTTGCCTCGTGAGTACTTGCTGTGTTTAGTACATCCCGCCAGCCAATCACCACTCACCGATCCATTCCTCGAAAATCCGGACCAAGCCATGACGGATCGAGGACGCACGTGTTGGCAACTAGATTCCTTATAGGGTGCAGTAGTGTGTATTGTGATCTGGAGTGAATTTAATCTGGAGTGTAAACATGATGGGACGAGGCTTAGGACATAGTTTAGTTTTTGGGCTTGTGGTCATGTGCAATTTAATCTGGAGTGTAAACATGATGCTTTCAGGATGTATATAGGAATGAAATTATTATTGCTAGGAATGGCTTTCAAGCAACGTGTGTATTGTGATCTGTGACATCTTTAAATAATAAGCAGTAGAAGTTAATTGATCTGAAACTTTGTACTGAAATTGACACTGACCTTTGTTTGAAATGGAATAATTCAGTTAATCTCTAGCCTTGTTCTTATTTTAACAACTGATGAAATCAGGATGTGTTGCATATGATAGCACTTTAGTAGAAAATGTTGTGCTTTTCTGATCTTTATTGTTTTGCATTCCAGGCCAGGGGATTGAAGAAGCATCTCAAGAGGCTCAATGCGCCCAAGCATTGGATGCTGGACAAGCTTGGCGGAGCTTTTGTAAGTGAACCAACTTTTCTAGCTTTGACACCTTCATTGTTCTCTAGTTCTCCATTTGTCTGATCTTTTGAGGTTGGTCTTTTCTGTAGGCTCCCAAGCCATCTTCAGGCCCTCACAAGTCGAGGGAGTGCCTTCCTCTGATTCTCATCATCAGGAACAGGCTCAAGTATGCTTTGACATACCGTGAGGTCATTTCTATCCTGATGCAACGTCATGTACTTGTTGATGGCAAGGTCAGGACTGACAAGACCTACCCTGCTGGGTTCATGGGTATGCCAACATCTATGTTAATGTTGAAAGATACTTATAAGCTTATATTTTGGTTGCTGATATGTGACATCCTTTTTGGCAGATGTCATTTCCATCCCCAAGACCAACGAGAACTACAGGCTGCTGTATGACACCAAGGGCCGCTTCCGTCTTCACCCAATCAGGGATGAGGATGCTAAGGTTAGACCATTCTCTTCTGTAACATTTGTCAATGTTCTAGTTGAGCATGATCTTGTTAGCTGCTAGGAGGATCCTATTTTCAGTTTTATGTAAGTTGAAGTTGGCAATACTCCTTATTTGATCTGTGTTTAATGTTCCTTGCTATATGGTCTGTATGTATGAGAGTCCTGCATTTGAAAATGTTTGTGCTACAATTTGTAGGATTATTAAATATTAATACATGTGGCTTGTCAATTTATCCTTTTATTTATACTGCCGAAAAATCCCAATCCTTTTCATAATACATGTATGTTATTAGTTCAAATTCTGATTGCTATTTTGTTTGTCTGTGCAGTTCAAGCTCTGCAAGGTTAGGTCTGTTCAGTTTGGCCAGAAGGGCATCCCTTACCTGAACACCTACGACGGCCGCACCATCCGCTACCCTGACCCGCTCATCAAGGCCAATGACACCATCAAGATTGATCTGGAGACCAACAAGATTATGGACTTCATCAAGTTTGATGTTGGCAATGTTGTCATGGTGACTGGTGGGAGGAACACTGGCCGTGTTGGTGTTATCAAGAACAGGGAGAAGCATAAGGGCAGCTTTGAGACCATCCACGTCGAGGATTCCCTGGGCCACCAGTTTGCCACCCGTATGGGCAACGTCTTCACCATCGGCAAGGGCAGCAAGCCATGGGTGAGCCTGCCCAAGGGCAAGGGCATCAAGCTGAGCATCATTGAGGAGCAAAGGAAGCGGGATGCGGCTGCCCAGGCTGCTGCCGCATAAATCCTCTGAATGTGCTTGGAGTTTTGCTATGTCTAGTTTATCTGCAATGATATAGAACTATGTTCCAAGACATGTTTAAGTTTTGTCTGATGCTTGTTAATTCGTGAACGATGTTTGCAGCTAGCTGTAATGCTGTAATGCGACTATCTATCTTATTCAACTGTGTTGTCGACAACAAGCCTACTTGTTTTGCTACCCTGTTTGCTTGAGCCATTGTGGTGGTTGGAATCTTGTTTTATGGTGTTACATAAAAATGTGGCGATGTGATCAACACATAGCAATCCAGATGATCTGAGTGGAACGAGACTAGAGATTTGCTTGGCTTCAAACAGAACTAGCAGATTTTGAAAATTTAACGACGTGTCAGTCAATTTGACCTGCAATTGACAAGGAAAGAAAATTTTGAGAAGAAAAGAAAATCTTATCAGTAATTTAAGGTGCAATTGATAAGGAGGGAAAATCTTATCCTTAATTTAAGGTGAAACATGTCGGTGTTGTTTTAGACAGTTTCAAATGTACAGTTAGATAATCGATTCAATAAGGCTATCGACTATCCGGTGCATTCATTAAATGAAGATCTTTAAATTAATGATTATCGGCAAATATTAAATGATAATGATATCAATTAAAATAATCGATACTCATAGATCCTAGCAAATTTATGGTGACTGATTAATCTAAACAAAAACAATTATAATACACCCAAATAAAAAATCAGAATATCTTTCCTTAAAATTCACTATATATGATCAAATGGTCGATTGATGTTATCAATTGATTACAGAGTTGATAATCAGTAGAGAAGCAATATGAGAAAACATCATCGGCTAAATAGAACATAATCAGTATAAAGTGCGAGTCGATAAATTTGATGAAAAGAGTATAACATATGAACAAATCGACTGTCTAATATAAATGAATCTACAAACAGTCTAAATCTAATATATTATCATCAACAGTGAGGTTCGATCGGATCGATGCAGATGATAATAATAATAACAAATTAAAGCCAAATAATTTATAAAACCATCTATATATTGACAGATTCTTAAAAACATGTTATATACGTGAGAGTATAGGCAATCGGCTAAAATAGCCGATGCAATCATAGCAAACAAACAAAGTAATTATCTTGATCATGAACAAGACCACTAATCAATAATTTCTAATCTAAAGTCTTACCAGTAAGGTTCGACCGGATCGATGCTGCTATGGTAGTGTCATTAGATTATATCTTATTAATCAATGAGTTTATTTAAAATTGAAATATGTCTTTGGATGCATATTATGTTTGATTGGAATAGAAATAAAACAACCGATCTAGCGGAATTAAGCCATCGATTATAAGATTTAAAGCGTAAGATGATATGATGCCGATCTATCTCTATCTCAATCGGGTGATTTTGTTATAATTAATAAAACATTAATTACAACAAGATCGATAACTGGTGAATCAACCAAAAAAAAAGTAAGAAAAATCTTACTAATCTTAGCAGATTTGATAACTGGTGATATTGTATTAAATAATAAGTTATTTAACACAAGATCGATAACTTTGATCTATATTATGATTCGTAAGAGATCAATCAGCTGATGCAGCCTTACAAATAATGATATGGATCGATAACTAACTTATATTATAGCTCATAAAAGATCAATCGGCTGATGCAGCTTTATAAGCACAATACAAGTTGTGACGGTACTTAAAAGCAAACTAGAGGTCGATCAGTCGATATAGCCATGTTTGCTGAAGAACTCGTCGAGATCTATAGTACTTCTACTCCTAATGCGATGGCGAAAGCTGAAAAAATTATATATGATTGAGTGTTCATCCCCTTATACAATAAATAGAGTCTAATATTTATACCAGAACCTAAATATGAATGCTACTCAGGGTACGACTTATTATAATTTTTGAAATAAAAGAAAACTCACTGCTTGGCCGCTGCTTGGTGTGAGCTGCCGGTTGGTGTGGACTGTGGAGGTACAGCAGCGACCCCTGCTTGCCGCTGGGTGGCTGCAGCCTGCACGCGGCTGCCGCCTCGAGCAGAGAAGAAAAACTCAACTGCGCCGAGGGGGATGAGAGACTGAAACTGGAGGCATAGGGACGGTGCTACAGTACCTCGTGTGTGACTGTGAGGATGCAACGGCAGCGGCCGACTGTTCGATTGGTTGGTTCGTATTGTTGCTGCTTCGTTTATACGAAAGAGAAGTACTGGTTGGTTTATGTGAACAGTACTCTGGTGAGGAGGCTGACCAGCCCGGCGGAACGGCGCGGCTCGATGGCAGTGCGACGCGAGTGGGTCCAAGACGCAGGCTCGCAGTCGAGCTGGAAAGAGGGAGCTGCAGACAGAAAGCGTGCACCAAGATTCGGAGAAGCTTCTTTAACCGGAAGCGAGGCAAGGGCCGTTTCGAGCGGGGCAGAGCCCGGCCCAGGGCTGGCGACGCCTGACGGCGACGGGCAGCCGTGCAGACCGACGAACGGCGCTGTTTCTGGGCGTCCTCGGGGTCTCGGATGTGGAGGAACAGGAGGAGGGCGGGGGTGCGGGAACGGCGTTTTGCCGGCTAATGCGTGCATGATTTTTTAAATATTAATAATAATAAAAATATTTCTACATAATTTTTTGCTATTATGCAAGGTTTCGTGGTGTAGTTGGTCATCACGCCAATCTAACACACTGAAGGTCTCCGTTCGAACCCGGGCGAAGCCAAAGTTTTAAATTTTTGCTCGTCGATCGTCGTCTCCCGCGCTATGTTGTTCTTGTTCACTCTCCCAGGTGTTAATTATATTAGGATAAAGAAATCATGTGATGCGATGCAGCGCTAAGCATTTTTTGCTCGTCGATCGTTGTCTCCCGCGCTATGTTGTTCTTGTTCACTCTCGCAGGTATTAATTTTTTTTAGTAGTTTTCCTGGTACATAGTACTACTGTCTGATTAGATTAGGATAAAGAAATCATGTGATGTGATGCAGCGCTAAGCATTGCAGGGTCAGCGCTGTCACCTGCCAGAGGCTCTAATACTCCATGCTTCATTCAGCCCATGTATCTGAACAGTGAACAAGAGGCTCTAATACTCCATGCTTCACTCTCGTTCCTACTTGTTCACTGTAACTGTAAGAGTAGTTTTTTACTTTGATGCATGGGTTAGCTAGTTTGGAAATCGCTTTGTGGTTGTCTCCTAGCAGCACTGTACACCACGCCGTTGCCGGTGCCAACTTATTGGTTAGCTGTCTTATCTATGAGGCGTCGTTACTCGTCACAACCTGTATATATCCAAAATCTGTATATCCAAAATCCAGTGGACCTCTCCCGTCTCCTCCGGTGCCTCTCCCTGGCAGCGCCTTCACAGCGCGCGGCGGTGGCGATATCTCCAGCTCGCTCGAACGTCGCTGCCGCCGCGTCGAGTCCCTGGCTCCCGGCCACCATTGGACGCCGTAGCCGACGGCGTGCTGCCGCTTCAATTCCGTTGATGCTGAGGCCGCCCACACTGGCCCCGCCATCGTTGAACGCGGCCGATGACGCGCCGCCGCTTCCGTTGATGTTGAGGCCGCAGGCATCAGCACCTGCCCCTGCCCTCACGCCAGCGCCATGCATGTAGATGTTGAAAGCGATGCCAGAGATTGGGCGTGTTGATCTGAGTGTCTGCTCCTCACCGCGGCATCAGGCATCAGCTCGTCTGGCTGCGGGAGCTGCTGCTCCTCGCCGCGCACGAACCACATGGGTTCCTTCTTCCGCATGGGCGCATGGCCGTGGGCGGCTTCCTTCTTCTCCGCGTCTTCTCGTGCGTGCGTGCAGCGTGACCATTCTGATAGATGCTAGTTTACTGGATGTTGGACTGGATTTGGATAAACAGGCAGTGGATTGGATTGGATTGGATTGGATACATAGGAAGTTTTAGTGGATTGGACTGGATCAAATGCCTCCGCAGGGTTGGGTTTTATTTGGATCAGCTCCATCGGGCGTGGATGTTAATCCATTTCCAGCTTTAACCAGGGACCAGGGAGGGTACTGCGATCTGCTCTTGTCTCGTCCCTCGCGTGTGACCTGCACGCACGTAGGACTGTAGGAGTATGCGTAGTGCTAATGCATTTGAGGCCCGCCGACAAACGCGGCCCATTCAATTCGCTGGGTGAAGTAAACCACTCCTGCTCTTTTGTTTTCGGCAGACTATAGGATAAACTATTCTTGTTTTTTTGCTTTTAAAGTCTTTTATTTATTTGTATATATAATCCATTCCGCACCTGTTCCAAAGATTTGAATTTGTGCCAAAGTTGGATTCCAAATAAATTTCTAACTAACCCAGGTTTATACTGCACTTCCTCGAAACAAGATGAGACAATGCAGGCACACGCTCTGGTCCAATCGGTGGCCGCAGAGGATCAGGATCCCCCCACGGCTGTCTAGCTGAATGGGCATCCGATGCCTCTGCAGCAGGAACGCACTCGCTTACGCGTGGGGCCCCGCCCTCCCACCGCGCGGGCCACGTGGGCCCGCCTCGCTTCACGCCGCGGCAATTATTTTTTCCCTCCGCCCCGCCGTGCACCTCGCTACGCTCCTCGCACTCTCGCTCAGCTGCTCGTGGAAGCCTCCCTTTCCCTGCTCCCTCCCCCATCAATGGCCACGGCCGCCCCCGCCCCATGCTGAGCCAAACCCCTACTAGCGCCAGCCCAGCAGAGGAGGAGCGCCAGAGATCCTCGCCTGCCTCGGCGCCGCCGCCGCGCCCTCCGGTGCCCCGCCCCACCACTCACATGGCGGACTCGACGCACCACACCATCCGCCGCGCCGCGGCGCGCCCGCGCGGCTGGTGCTGCTCGTTCGCGGGCATCCCGGAGAGTCCCGAGCACCGCCCCGCGCTCCCGGCGTCGTCCGCGGTAGGCGCCGCCGTCCGGAAGCAGCTCCCGCCTCCTCCGCCGCCGCCCAAGTCCCCTCTGGCGCCGTCGTCGCACCACAGCTCGCCGTCGTCGAAGCTGGCGGGGCTCATCGACCCGCGCAGGATCCTCTCGCCGGGCCGCGTGTCCCCGATCGACTCTGAGGGGTCGCCGGCCGTCGCGGACGCGCTGCCGAGGGAACAGTCCGCGCCTTTCGTGGCGGTGCGGGAGGACGAGGACGAGGAGGACGGGGAGCGGGAAGTGGAAAGGAACGCGCTGGATCTGAGGCTGTGCCTCAGGGGCAGGGACGGCCGGTGCGTCGCCATGGACCTCGACTCCGCCGTGCTGTGCGGGAGCAGCGCGTTCTTCGCCGGCATGGTGCCCGACGCCTCTGCGAGCGGGGGCGGCGGCGGGGGCAGGAGGGTCGAGGTGGATGGGGTGGACAACTTGGAGGCGTTCAAGGAGGCGGTGGAGCTCATGTTCGAGCCCGACGCCATGCGGTGGCTCGCCAGGGCCGGCGTGTCACGGGCAATTGCTGTGCTCGAGGTCAGACAGATGCATCCCTTTCATTTCCTTTTCCTTTTGTTTGTTTCTGCCGACAGTATGGTCCAAGTTTGTGATGTGAGTGACTAGGGAGGTAGTACTAGTGGTTGTACCAGCCACATTGCATGATTACACAGCTTAATTTGACTGATCAACTGATCATGTTGCGATGAATTCAAGGTATAATTGTCGCCTAGATGTTCATGTTCACCTATTCAGTTAGCCTGTGCACCATCGTTAGGTGTAGGTGCACTTGATTTTAGACTAACGCAGCAACCAAATCCGAGTGTACATTCTGCAGGTGGTGTTTTGGTCAGCAAGTAATAAATAAGTTTGTTTTGACTTGTCAAAATCATTGAGTTCGTGTTGATGATGTATGTTATGCAGTTGTTACAGTAGGTGGTGTTTTAGTGAGCAATTAATTTGTCGATGTGACGTGTCAAAATCGTTGTTGAGTTGGTGATGATGATGTATGGTATGCAGTTGCTAGAAGAGGAGCTGCCGTGTTTATGGTAGGCCTCACTCCATTTAGGTTCTGGTAACCAGTGTTGCTAGGAGGGAAAAGGCAAATTACGTATTGTTCTCGAGTAACTGACTCTTGTTTCCATCTGGCAAACTGCTCCAGTGATCCATCTCAAACACTAGCCAACGGTTTCCTCCTTTGCCACCCTCCTTCCGCAGTTCTCTTCCTGATGCCGTTGGTTTCCTTCCCTACTGCTTATCTGTCCCCGCAGCTCTTAAATCTCAAGTTCCCTGTCTGCATAAAGGCCACAGGAACGCTGAATCAACACAAACCTGATGCTTACTGAGTCTGCTGAAATCATGGCCATTGAATTAAGTCCCAAGTATTGAATCTACACGGTTTAATAATTATTTGCATGGCCCCAAATGCTAAATTAGGTTTGGTCACCGCTCCTGAGCGCTACTTCATCTTGATTCTCTGCTGGCTGTGATTAATCGGCCAAGAAGCTTGCTGCTGCACTGTATTCGAGTAGACAGAGGATGGATAAGGTTGTCCATGGTGGACAGAACACGAACAGAATCACAAGGGGAAATTAGCATGGGAGAGAGGAAGAGGAGGTAGCCGCAAACATAGAGCTTACCGAAACGTTGGGGCTCATGGTGGAGGGTATCAAGGATGGCATGGAGTCAATCGCGAGCCCTCCTTTGCATTGCAGAGGCCTCTGCCATTCCCTATCCGATATCATGTTTGCCGTGGCCCCTTTCTGTCCATGCACCAGTAGTGATGCGGGCAAGGTTTCTGCGACTTGCGATTTACTTGTCAACCAGTCAGGACACTGGTCTCGCTTTGCTCTGTGCCCTCGCGGCTACCATGTCTTTTTGGCCAAGCGAGGCTGACCTTGTCATGCTGCAGGATCTGATCCCCAATTGGAACATGGTAATTTGTGTCAGTGTTGGATTGGCCATGAGAGAATGAAATTACTTTTCTACACTTCAACGTAATTCTGTAATTGGTACCGGTCCACAAGTTACACTCACCTTTTAATAGGCACCTTTTATTTTTAATGCTGGATTTGAACTGACATTTTAGAGGGAAGGTACTTATGGTTCTATTTGAGCGCTATAACGCCTCAGATAATCTTATTGCTGGCAATTTTTGTAACTTACTTACTAGTTCAGCAGGGCTTAGGGCACACATACACAGATTTTGGGAATACTAACCTTTGCATTACTGCGACGTGGCATTGATCTACTTAGGCCTTATTGTCAACCTCATATTTCTTAGACGTAGTGGCAAAAGAAGATTCTGGCTTAAGAGTTCACAAGTCGTTCCCATTGAACAGTTAGGAAAGAAACCCAACCAGGAAAATGCATTCACTGTTCAGTAATGCATTTTTAAGCATATAAGCTTGATATATATATATTTTTTAAATGAATCGTTCCAGGGTGCATTTTGCACTCTAAGCATCTGGTGTTATGGACCTATGGTCCTGTGTGTCAAGTGTGACTGTGAATCAGTAAATTTGTTATGTATGTAGGGCTAGGATAGTTAATGGTATGAAGATCAGGTAACATTATATATGTCAACAAGAAGCCATTAAAACTCGAAGAAAGTAACATAGTTGCAGACTAGCAGTAGCAGGTTTTCATGTTCACAGCATAGGTTCATTCTTCTGAATTTTATGATTGACAATTGCCTCTTAATTTATGTACACCGCAATGATTATTTTGCCTATTTAGTTCTGCTTTGGACAAAATAATTTTGTTTGGTGCCACATGTTCGGTCCGTTAACTGATACTATCAGCTCTGTGCGCTGTTTATACACAATCTCTCAGAATGATTTTTTGATTTTCAATTGTGAAAGTGAGATACTGAAATGTCAATTACGGACAACCTGATATTTTTTTTTTTTGCTACACACATATACAATTTCTATATTTGTAATCCTCCTTGTCTGTTTTCTGCTTCCTGACAGAGTCTGAACTGTATCTGATATGTGTCTGTTGATTTCTGAATTACAGGTTTCCTCCTCTATTATGTTTGACAGAGGAATTGAATCATGTTTGAAGTACATCGAAGCAGTTCCATGGAACGAGAATGAGGAAGAGAAGCTGAAACATGTTTTTGCTAGATGCACTTTTGATGAATCAGTATGTAAAGATGTGCTGGCAAGATTACAACAACAATGCACGAGCGGCTCAGAGGACTTGACAGTGCAGCTCATTGAATCTGTCACCAGTGGAACCAACAATGGTGCAAGAAAAGAGATGCAATCTTTGGTCAGCGGTCTCCTAAGCAAAAGCTCAGTCTATCATAAGGACATGTCAGGGCTAAACAAGAGGGGCCTCTATCAAATCTATCGTTCCTGTTTGAGTTCACTGGTGGAACTTTTCATGGAAGACTCAGAGCCAGTCGAGGATGTGACCCAAGCTATGAAAACTTCAGAGAGCAAGCCTATGATTGAAAGGGTCAGTAAGCAAACTGAGAATCTCAAGTGGCTCTTTGACATACTTTTAAACAATGACATAGCAGAAGAATATGTTGATATGTGGGCAAACCAAGACGAACTCATCACAATGCACGAGCAAGCATCACCGATGTTCAGATATGAGCTTAGCCGGATATCAGCGAGCGTGTTCATCGCTCTGGGGAAAGGAAGAATCCAGTGCCCCAGTGACACGAGGAGCCAATTGTTCCATGGATGGTTCAGGCCAATGCTTATGGACTTCGGCTGGCTCCAGAGGTGCTCCAAGGGGCTAGATGTGAAAATCCTGGAGGAGAACCTGGGGCAGGGCCTGCTCACCCTTCCACTTCACCATCAGCAGAGCTTATTCGTAGAATGGTTTCAGTGCTTCGCATCTAGAGGCACACAATGCCCAAATCTCAGCAGAGCTTTCCAGGTATGGTGGAGGAGGTCATTTGTTAGATCATCTGTAGAGGTGCGTCGGTGAGCGATTTTTTACTTCACTGTGAGGTATATCATATTCATAAATATGTGCTGCGTGCATCATTGTAAAATTAGAGTTGTGCAATATCTAATAGATTCAATTTTGTTTTTTCGTAATAAAATTCAGCTGGTTCTTCCCATTCTGTGCCCTAGATGCTACTTGCACTTTAACATGAACCAATACATAATACAACACTACAAGCCATAAAACAGGGCTGTAAGCATCGTCATAAGCATGTGGAGTTTCGTCAATTTTTGCCTTAAACATGGCATCGCTGTACATGACCTTATTCATCATATCAGTAGTATACTAGTATGCAAGCAAACAAGATGTCATCACTGCACTGGATGATCGCTGCTATATACATACATGAGTCCCATCACAGATTCTACAGCTTAGCCGTGCTTGCCACACATGAGGCCATCTGGCTGGGCAGCAATGTTGAGCCAGTGGCAATCCTCAAACGCGCACGTCCCGGAGGCCTGCAGCGTCTCGCCGACGTCCTCCGGCTTCAGGTAGTACGGCGTCCACGACGGCGTCCCGTCCTCGAAGGAGTTGTGCGTGAGCCGGCGGATGCCCGACCCGTCGATGTTGACGGTGAAGATCTCGCCGTAGGGCTGGTAGTGGTGCGGGTTGGAGATGGGCTCCGCGGACACGGCGGCGTAGTCCGACGTGAACACCAGCGTCTTGGAGTCCGGGCTGAACCAGGGGTGGTTGGTCCGGCCGCCGTCGGCGCTGTGCACTACCCTCCGCAGGCCGGTGCCGTTCGGGTGCACCATGTAGATGGCGAAGCTGCCACTGCCCGGGTTGTGCCGGTCGGAGGCGAACGCGATCCACTCTCCGTCGGGTGACCAGTTGCACATGGTGTCGGACCAAGGACCCTCGGTGAGGCGCCGGATGCCACCGGCCTCGCCGTCCTCCGCGTCCATGATGTAGAGGTTCTTGTGCCCGGACCTCCCGGACCGGAACACCACCCACTTGCCGTCCGGCGAGGGGGACGGGAACGCGTTGTTCTCGCCTCCCACGGTGAGTTTCTTGATCGAGACGTTGGGGTCGTCGTCGTCGCCAAGGGACACGGCGACAACGTCCACCTCGGTGCTCTCGCTCGCGAAGTCCGGCCCGACGCTGGTGTAGATGACCCCTTTCCTCTTCCAGTCCCATGTCGTGGGGAACGCGTTGCCCGAGAAGACCCGCCGGCGGCCACCGGAGCCGTCGGAGTTGACCACGAACAGCCCCGGCAGACCGACGAAGGCGATCCTCTTGCCGTCGTGCGAGAACGAGGGGAACGACCCATCGATCCTGAAGAGCGAGAACGTGTCCGGCGACGGGCTCTTGATGCTCTCCAGCAGCAGCGGCGAGTCCCCGTTCCCGCTGCCCCGGCACCGGTGGTACCCGACGCGCTCGCCCCCCGGCGAGATGAACGGGTTGAAGTGGTGCGCGCGCGGCGCCACGGGCCTGGTCACCTCGAAGTAAGTGGCGTTGGCGCTGCCGCCGCCGGACACGTCGATGACCTCGACGTGGCGGTAGTCGGAGCCCGGGCGTCTGGTGGCCACGGCCACGAGCCCCGGCGCGCCGGGCGACGCGGCGGGGGTGAACGCATGGAACCCCGGCGGGGTGATCCGGTCGACGGACGCGACGGACACGGACACCCCGGCGCCGCCGTCGTCGTCCGTGAAGGAGAGCTTGGCGCGGTACACGCCGTACCAGCCGTCGCCGTCCCGGCGGTGGAAGAAGACGGTGCTGTCGTCGGCCCAGGTCGGCCACCCGGCGTCCGGGACGGCCAGCGCCCGCCGCGACCCGTCGGAGGTCCGGAAGACGTAGATGTCGGTGCGGAGGTCCTCCACCTCGCCGTCCCACCCGCGCGGGCCGGGCGACGCGGCGGCGGTCCAGTCCCCGGACGGCGACACGGCGGGGCTGAAGTCGGCGACGCCGCGCGGGGTGAGGCGGCGCGTGGCCCCGGACGCTAGGCTCGTGGAGTACACGGCCGCCCAGCTCCGGCGCGGGGCCCCCGCGGCCTCCGCCGTAGAGACGTACACCAGGTGGGCGCCGTCGGCGGTCAGCGAGGGCCGGTCCTTGAGCGCGATGGGGTCCCACGGGAGCAGCGGCGTGAGCGTCGGGGGCGGCAAGTCGTCCGTTTCCTCCAGCGCCTCGCGGCGGCGGGCGGCGGAGGCGGAGGTGGGGACCGGGGTGAGGTAGAGGTTGAGCGAGCCGTTGCGCTCGGAGACGAAGAGGAGGGAGGGCGACGACCCGAGGAGGAGGAGGGCGCGAAGTTGCCATTGTAGTTGACGGAGGCGCCGTCTGTGAGGAGGAGCTCCGCGGAGGCGGCGGCGGATGGGGAGGTGGAGAGCGGATCGAGCGGGAGCGCGAAGATGTCGAAGCCGTAGCGGCTCCGGCCCAGCGTGGTGAAGACGATGGTGCCGGAGGTGGCGAGCGCGGGCGCCACGAGGAGGAAGAGGAAGAGAAGAGGCAGGAGAGTGGCGCGGGAAGCCATGGCGTGGACTGCCGACCACTGGACTGGAGCACGAGTGCAGCAGAAACAGGATAAGGGATGGTTGCCTGACGGGGAAGATGCTCGGATTTGGGGGTGATTTTTTACCGGCTTTCGCGATCGAATCGCGACGTGTCGTGAGTGTCAGTGTCAATGTGTCGACATGATAATCTGGGAACAAGAAATTCCATCGATATATAACATTATAAGATATTTGAACTTTTCTATATTCATAATTTTTGTTATGCATCTGAATATAAGTAATGTGTAGATATATAATATTCCCTCTATTCTAAATTATAAGTCATTTTGTTTTTTTTTTGAGTAAAATCATCTCGAGTTCAGATTCTATGAAAATATGATACTTATTTGGTATCGTAAATTTTATTATATATAAAATTTGGTTAAACTTGAAATACGTTGACTTCACAAGAAAATTAAAATAACTTATAATTTAAGATAGAGGAGAAATAACTTATAATTTAAGATAGAGGAGAAATAACTATGTATTTAAAAATGTCAAAACGTCCTATAGTTTAGAACTCATGAAAATATTTTGATTCACATGCCGACACACGTGTGAGGGGCAGAGCCACAAAAGAAGAAGGAACTATTTTTTTTTTGACAATTAAGAAGGAACTAATGTTGAAATCATGCCACAATCTATTTCTTCTCCTTAGAGGGTGTAGCCGGATGTTCCACTATCTTAAAAAAAAGTAAATATCTGGACATTCGATTTACCACAAGAAGTAGCCATTTGACAAGCATCACGAGTCGATTTTACCTGATCGCTTGAACTGTTTATTAGATATATATAATATTTTTCTCTCACAACAAAATAATATCAGCCGGTTTATCGAACAAAAAAAAACATCAAACATAGCGCATCGCTGCTGGCTGCCAACTCGGGTGGGCCATGTGACAAGGACGTGTTTGCCATTGTTATCTTGGCTCTATTCGTTTGTCTTATAATCCGTATTTTCATCTTGTTTTTTCAGTTGAAACAATGTTTTTTCTCTCACAACAAATCAATCGGAATAGTGTTTCAGCTTTTTTTTTCAGCGAAACAAACGAGCCCTTGTGCATATGGGTGGAAATGGAATAATGTGACAAAGTAGTACGTTTTGAAATCCAAGTCCAACGCACGAGCCACTCACACACTGCTCTAGATATTGGCCCCGTTCGCTTTCGCTAGAAAAACAACCAAAAGCACTGTTTTGGCTGATTTGTTGTGAGAGAAAAACACTGTTCCGGCTGAAAAAATAAGCTGAAAAAGACGGATTATAAGAAAAGCAAACATGGCCATTGTGTAGTAAGTCAAAGCTACTACAACACATCTCGTCCGGTATATATATCTTGAAGGCGGTTTTGTTTGTGGGGCGTGCTGGTGTTCGGACGTCCGACGAGATAAGATTTCATCGGAAGACCGTTTTTCGCGCGTACGTGCATAGCCTGCTTCTCATCCGCTAATTCGTCCTGTCTACATGTGAATCGTGTTGTCGTCGTCTCCGTACGACTAGCTCACAATTCACCATGTCCGCCTCGTTTCGCCTCGCCTCCATCCGCACAACCTGCCCCATCCGTTCGCCCCACCCCATAGGCACACCCCGCTCCGTCGTGTCCCCGACTATGGGCCCCAGCGCCACGCACCTGTCCGCTGGCTTGCTGCACCCCATTCCTCGGCGCCCGTGCCATGCCACCATCACTCCCATGTGCTTCCGGACTCTCGGATAGCATGAAACTTGTGCAACATGAAATATTTGAGTGCAACATAACACTTACACACATATGTGTGAAAACATATACAACATCTAAATGGAACACTTGTAACTTGCAACATGAAAACACTTCCTGCAACGGAAAGACTGAACAAATGAAACATTTGGAACATACTGTTACAACATATGTGTTAAACATATGCAACATCTAGATAAAAAACACTAGCAACATACGTCTAGAACAGATGAAACATTTTGAACAAACTCTTGCAACATGTCTCTGAAACACTTGCAATATGTGCAACATCCTCGATCTAGTTTTGTAACATCCATATGACACAACTGCAACATACCTCTGAAACACTTAAAACATATATTTGCAACATAGGAGAGGGGGAGCGCCTGTGCCAGGTAAATTCCAACCGTCGGGGTGAGAGCCGGTGGCGAGTGGCGGCGTGCGAGCACCACTAGCATCCAGCACTAGTGGAGCACGCGAGCTCAACGGCCACCAAAGCCGGGCTTGGGTCGGCGGACGAGCGGCGTGGGCGATCGGGCGGAGCGAGCACCACCGGCACTAGCTCGCGCGACGAGGCGTGAGCGAGCGGCGACGATATGGTGTGTGACAGCTGCGAGAAGAGTGCGCGTGCGCGTCCATGACGGGACAGCCGCAAGGCGCTGCATAAGGTAAGTGAAAGCGGAAGGGATAAGGATGTGTGATTTTTTTTAATAAACTCGTGGACAGAGCGAGCGACAAAGTAAAATGCAAGCAATGAGACGGTGGGCCTACGGAGACGTCTGACGGATTGCTCGTGTCGGACTTACCGTTGTTTGTTTGGTGACGAGTCGTGCTGTCGCTATGGCTTTGGAGCAAAGGGCTCCACTCAAGACACGTTCTCTTCTCTTGTGGGAAAAGGAAACGGGTTGGGTTAGTTTGATACCATCCCCCGACAAGAAGCAAGACAGGCCGGCCGGCCCAACCAGCAACGAAATCCTCCAGCACCGGCCCAACCCAACGGGCTCCCACAGCGCAACCGCACTAGCGGACCAGCCTGTCCCCCTGGTCCATCCGTCCATCGCAACCAAAGCTGACGCGGGCCGGGGTTTTGCCCCAGCACCAACAGACCCAAAGCCGCTGGGCCGTGGCACGTACGTCGAAGCCGTTCCTTCCTCGTTTCTTTCCCATCGGGAAGAATACGGTCACATTCGAATTCGACGTATTCCGTAGTAGCCAAGCAGGCTAGCAGTAGCAATGGATGGTGATCGGTGAAGGAGCCACGTCCACGTCCACGAGTGACGCAGGCCTGGAGCTGGAGGCATCCATCCATGGATGCAGCTATTAATTTCGCTTTCCCTGGTTGTTTCGCATGTCGGTCTACGGATACGGAGTATTTATACGTAGATATCTAGGCATCTCACTTAACGAACTTACGTAATCTCTTCCACTGCTTGCACGTATCTGTCTGTCTCGACACAATGTAGGTCAAAAGGAACTATATATTAAGGTGGTATTTGGCAGGGGCAAATCTAGGCTAGATAACCATCGGGGTCTTCTCTAAAAATGGTGTGGCTATTAGGAACTAATTAGCACTGTATATAGTAATGGTCCATTAAAATTTCAGAATTTATCGGGGTCGACAGACCCTGATGGCAAGTTGTGGCTTCGCTTCTGGTATTTGGGTAAGGGGGTTAATAATTAGCACCCCTTTTTAGATATCAATTAGAAAAAGCCTCAATGTGAGCTAATAACACCTAATGGGGGCTAATTGATGGTTAGAGACCATTAGCCCTTATTAGCTCATAGTTACTCCATGTTTAATCCATTTTATGGGACACTTTTTAGCCTCGGATATCCAAACAGGCCCTAAGTGTAGATAGAAGAGATAACTACCAGCTACGTACCCCGCTGACCGCTGTAGTGTACATAGTATATATATGCCATGTATGTGTCATGGTGTATTTTCTATAAGTCCAGTCAATTCGATCTAAGTTCGTCCGAACCCAAATCTAGAATTATTACATCTTTTATTGGAGTATTTGTGTAGATGGTGGGGTGGCCGGGGTCGCCGTTGTCGTCTTTCGGTGTCTAGGACATGAGTTAACTACTGTTATCATGGATACATCAACAAGATTAGTATACGACCACCACCACCACTGCTGTCAGAACGAGAGAGAGAGTACGTATGAGCTACTAGTCGTTATTATAAAGAAAAATTAAACCACTAATAGTAAATAAAAAATAATAAAAGCTACGAGCTGCCACAGCGGTTGTTGGGTAACCTGGTGCAGGTTAATTTGGCCGGCCGTTGCTTGCTTTACTCCCTTGTACTGTAGCGATCGATCTACCATCGATGCGCGCGGGTTACCTAATTTTAACGAAACACTGCTGCTTAATTACTTATTTATTATTTAATTGGATCACCACATGTCAAAAGTGGATGCCTGGATGGCATATATATGTCGTTTGGGCGCGACAGGGACAGGTTCCAGTGAACTTTCGTGGTTACTGCTTGCTTATGTGCCATGTGCATGGAAGCTTCCTCAAATGGGACGATGGTACATGTTAAAGCTTCACAAAAAGAGCAGAAAGTTGCAACTCTCTCCAACCCCAGGGGAAAAAATGTGGACGTGTGTAGGCAGCACCGTACTAGCATGCTATATAATTTGGTTAGTTTTAGTTAATTAATATTTAATTTTGAATGTTGAAAACATATTTGGCTCTCACATAATGAACCCTCATGACACATGCGTGCATACTATACATAAGCTGTTGCTGAAATGCATGTGCCTATTAGCTAGCGACTGTACCTGCGCGAATGATGCTACCATCCTGCAACGCCATGCATTTAATCTGGATCGGTTCGTTATACCACACTAGCTGTGTCTTGTTCACTTCCCGCTGCAGTGCAGAGCTGGCCATGTTGTGCTTGTCCTTGTCGCGTGCCTGCACTGCTGCGTTCCGTTCCGTTTCGCTTCTGCATGTTCAGATGTGAAGAAGAAGAGGAGGAAGAAGAAGAATCATCCGTGAGTTGAATCATGCGTGCATGTCTGAGGTCTGTCAGTCGACCTGGCTGGCAAATGGCAACGGCATGCTCTGCCTCTGCCGAATGAGAATCCAACTGGACAGGAGTCATAGGACTGGACTGACAGCATGGATTCATGCATGCTGGGTCTAGGAATATATCGGTCAACTTTTCCAAAACCAACAACAACAACAAAAAAAAAGATCGGCCAGCCAGTCAGTAAATCCAGATTTCGCTAGTACCATCTTTTTTGCCGCGCAAATCC